AATAATTTCATCATATTATTTTATTTTAGTAAAATGGGACATTACAATTTTCTATGTTGATAGTTAAATTAGTATAGAATGATTTTCTTTAAGATAATAGGTTACAAATTGATTTTTACTTTTTTTTTCTTTCACATTTTTCACTTCCTTTTATCACACGTAACATGGCTTTACCATTATTGTTGTTGTTGTTTTTTTTTTTTAATCCTTATCATGCTTGTTTTTCTTTATCTTTGTCATCTTTGTCATGATATCACCATGTTCATCGACCTTACTTCTTTTGCATGCGCAACAAAGGTAATATTTAAAAATATTATCTTTTTCTTCTATTTTATTATTTGTTTCCGTAAAGTGTTTTAATTATGTTGGGTTATAATTTTTATTTTGTGGATATTTTAACCTGTTGAGTGATTGTTTTTCATCGAATATAAGTGAATTTTTTTCTAAATTTATGTTCAATTGTTTCTAACGTGGATGATGTGTGTTTAATTGGTGGATTTGTTATTTAATTGAAGGTATTTGATAAAATGTTTATAAGAAATAATATTGTATAACAATTATATTAAAAATGGACATTGTAAATAAAACTTCCTATATTAATTATCTAATATTGTTTGGATTTCGATTCTACAATCCATATAAAAAATACAACTATTATAAGAAATTTTTGGTGTATTAGTAAATGGTGTATATATATTTTAGAGCGACTTTATCTGGAACAACTGACGTATTTGTTATAGAAGATGATTTAAAGGAAATTTGAGATGAAAGCTTGAGTTTATTGGATTACCTAATTTGAGTTGATTTGGGGATGATAAATTTGCATATGGGTTTCGTTAATTAGATTGGTGAGAAAGGTTTCGGGAAAGACACAGTTTTTTTGTGTACTTAGTTGTATGTGTCAACCAAGTAACAAAACATCAACATCCTCAATTCACTCAAGGTCCTGAAGAGAATGAAACTGTTAAATGAATGAATATTAGTCTAAATAGTGATTTTGGACAAATTTATATTCTAAATAATGAAATATAGTATGGTCTATGAAAATAGCTCTATTTTTTCTTATCTTTTAAATTCTCTTTTTGCATATAGTAATGAATGCAACTTGTTTTCTTGAGTATTATTCATAAATTGGTAATTAGTTATACTCCTAAACAAAATGAAGTTTTTAAGAAAAAACATAACAGTAATGGAGATAACAAAATATTTGATTGCAAAAAAAAATAAAATCAGCAATGTACCTCATGAATAGGTTACTCTTTCAAAAGAAAACATCAATTTCAACGCAAAACACTTGAAGATTTTTGGATCAATTTGCTATATGTTCATGTTGTAGCATCTAAAAGATCTAAATTGGATGACAAAGATGAAATGAGAATCTTTCTTGGTTATACTGCAAGTTCCAAATATTATAGACTCTATAATCTCAAGTCAAAGTAGATTATCATTAGCAAGGATGTTCAATTTAATGAGAATGCATATTAAGATTGAGAAAATAATCAAATTCAAATAAATATGAAAACTAAATAATGACAGGATATAAGGAAAGATGAAAGAAATCAGATTCTTTGAAGCTCAAATTTAAGTCTTTGGTTGAAATTTATGAAAAGTGTAACTTTTTTATTTATTGATGAACCTTCTTGTTTTAGAGAAGCTTTAATGCAAACAAAATGAAATGATGCAGTTAAATGAAAGTTGGTTATGATTAACAAAAACAGTACTTGAGAACTCATCTTGAGGCCCCATAACAAACATGTAATCGGTGTAAAATGGATTTACAAAATAAACATGTTAGGAGGGAAATTCTCAAATGGTTGGAATTAATTATGGTGTACATTTGCACCTATTGCTAGGCATGGAATAATTAGATTAATCGTTGTTTTACTAGCTCAATATGGGTGGAAAATATTTTTCTTTGAATGTGAAATTAGCATTCTTAAATCATATTTTGGAAGAAGAAATTTATGTTGAGCAACTTGCTAGTTTCATTGTTGTTGCTCATGAAGATCAATTTGATAGAAAATTTTGTATGGGCTAAAACAAGTTTTATGAGCTTGGTACAACAAAAATTGACTAACAGTTTTTGTAAAATAATTTCATTAGGAGTTAAAATGAGCCTACTCATTATGTGAAAGACTATGACAATGAGAAGAAAATTATTGTGTCATTTCATGTTGATGATTTATTAGTTATGAGTGATTATATTGACGAAAATGAGAAGTTTAAAATGAGCATGTTGCAAGTTTTTGAAATGATTGATCTTAAAGTGATGAGGTATTTTTTAGGAATGGAAGTATATCAACTTGATGATTGAAATATTTCTTTCATAGTGTAAGTATGCAAATGACGTGCTGAAAAAAATTCAAATTGGAGAGTTGTAATTCCGTTTCAACGCCTCTTGCCGTAAATGAGAAGTTGTCCAAGAATGATAATGATGAGAAGATTGTTGTGACTCAATATAGAAGTCTAGTTAGTTGTCTTCTTTACTTAATTGCAATTATACCAAATTTGATATTCTCTACTAGTTTTCTTTCAAGGTTCATTGACAATGAAGTGTTCTCGTAAAACTCTAATAAGTAAGATGTAATTGCTCAATTCTCAACTCAAGTAGAGTATATTCACTACTACAAAATATGCCAAATTAAGATAATTGTCACTAGCAGGATTCAAACTCATTACATTATCGTTAGAGACGGATACTCCAACCACTAAGCTACTAAATTTTTTTAATAATATTTTATAAATAAATTATATTTATATACAAATAAATGTATATTCGTGTAAATATATAAATATAAAATATATAAATATAAATATATTTTTATATATTTATATAGTTATATATTTATATAGTTATATATTTACATAGTTATATATTTACATATTTATATGTTGGATGTGATGACGCGTTCAAGGGTGAAAGTGTGTCGAGTGAGTTTTCAAAATTTGATGCCAAATTTGTGAGCGAGTCTCTTTATATGAGTTTATAATTTAATGATAGAATATAATCTTTTTATAATTTATTTATATAATGATATAAAATAAATTTTTTCTTTATTTATTTTTATTTATTCTTTTTATCTTTTTTTTCTTCTATTATTTAAGTGAAATTCTTATATTAAAATAATTTTTTCAATATTATAAATAATTAAATATTTATTTTTAAAATTATTTAATTTAATAAATTATTATAAATTAATCTATGTCTGGAAAAAATAATAATTAAAAGATGAATTTGATTAATTTATAATAATCTATGTTAGGAAAAAAATGTTCTATTAATAATCATAATTAGATTAAATTTGGTATCAAATTTTGAAAAATCCCCTTGACACACATTTTCATCCTCGAGCGTGCTCTCACATTTAACATATAAATATATAACTAATAAATATATAAATATATCAAAATATATAAATATAAATATAAATATAAATATATTTATATTTATATATTTTATATTTATATAATTACACGAGATATATATTAATTTGTATATGAATATAATTTATTTATAAGTTATTATCGAGAAAATTCTAAGTAACTTAGTGGTTAGAGTATCGACTTCCAACTCTATTGGGTTGGTTGGGCGGTTCGTTTTGATAACACTACTTGTCAAAATAGGCCAAGTTATCACCTAAATTTAATAATTTTAGGCTATGTTAACCTATAAGCTTATGCACCAACCTGTTTTCTAATAATAATAATAAAATTTTAAATAAAATAAAATTATTATTTTATAAAAAATATGTATTATAAATTAATTTAATAAAAAAATCATTGATTCTAAGAATAAATATTGAAAAAATCTCTATAACAATAATTTATTCTAATATCTTAAAATTAATTACTATTTTAGATTAATAAATTACTTAACAAAATTAATGATGATTCAAGAGTAAGAGTTTAACTCTTATTTTGATATTGAATGGATTTATTTTTTTATAATTTATATATTAAAGAAAAATTAATTTTATTAATACAATCTAAATTTTAAAAAATATATTTTTATGGTTAAAACTTAGTTTATCAGAAACACGTTGCGTGGGAATGAACAAGTTGGACTCAATAACCACCTTCAGTTTGATCTTTGTTGGAAGAACATCACCACTGGTATAATCCTTAGCTTCGTTTTGAACGATAACATATATTCTTTGAACTTGCATGAGGGTAGAAGTTGTTTCTGATGTTGTTTATCGATATTTTAGTACATGGAGACTATTATTGTGATGGTGTGTGTTAGAAAGATAAAGGCTTTGCTCAGTAAACAAATTTCCCTTACCTATCATGGAAAGTTAGTGTATCAATCACGATAGGTGGTGAGAGATGGAGGAGGTGAGTTGGCAGTGAGAAGAGACAGAACCAAAGTATTGGCTAGTATATGCTACGATGTTGCTTTCACGTCATAATTTATAGTTAATCATCTTACATCAATTGCATGCATGATGTATGAGAATCTAACTTGAAAGGCGCTTGGCGATTCTGTATGTGGGTTGTGTATGCATATCAATGAAGTTGATATGGCCAAATTTGTAGTGAATGTCTTACTAACAGGCGTTTGATTTTGCGCAGAACTAGTACTAGTATTCAGTGGTGAGAGGTGCCTTACTCTCATTCTATGATATCTGAAAAAAAAAACAAGTAATCTTCCTTTTCCACCTACTTTCATTACCAAACATTATAATTAGTCATTGACCAACTTCTGAAGTATGTTTCACAAATTGGAGATTTAGATTTGTAAAAACGGGGTGTTGTTTCTATTAATTTCTTCTCGAGAAAACGTAATAAAGATTGCATAATTATTGAAGAAACCATAGGTTGAAAGAAAACCCTTAAATATATAGAGGGATACAATATTTAGTCGAATAACACATCCCTTAATCCACTCGGCAAAATTCACCACTGTAGTACTCTTTGATCGCAATCAAACACTCTCGATTATTAACTGCATGGTAAGTAATGTCTTGAATTTTGGTACATTCAATACACTCAGTTCCTGTTTACGCAGACAATGCAGTCACAAGGGCTAGTCCAAGAACAAGAGACACCCACTTTCCAAGTATATTGATTTTCACAGTGCCAGAGTTCGCGTTTGTGGAATTAATCTCAGATGAATCTGAGGAATCTGGAGAAAGTGACTTCTCCTTATCCGCTTTGGGAGCTTTTGCAGATGGTTCTGGAGCCAAAGAGGGTGCCTTTACTGGTGCCTTAGCAACAGCAAAGAAGTCCATAGGAAGAAGCACCTTCCCCACCTTGTAAATAGCAAGATGCTTATCTGTATATACGATGCCAGTGATGGTGGTGTTAACCTCACCCGTTGAGATATTTACACTCCCTCCATAACTTATCACATTCAGTTCCACCTTTCCAGGTTTAGCCCCTGCAAGTGTTCTCACAGGGTTGGTTAGAGTATCGAAGTTGGAGCTAGACACATAGTCTGAAAGAACATGGAACTGTAAGAGCTCGAGCTTTTGTCCATCGGAAAGAGAGTTGAGGAAGCCTGCTTTGAGTTCAGAGAAGGCACTGTCATCAGGCGCAAGAATGGTGATGCCACCTGATTTAGTAGTGAGGAGTTGAGCATTGAGTTGGTTGATCAATTGGGTGGTTTTCATGAGGCGGATAAGGATGTTGAATGACTTGGCCTGCCTCAGGATTCCAACAATGTCAACAGCTGGAGTGTCAGGGGTGGCATCACTTGGAGACTCTGGCAGTGAGGGAACCAATGGTTTAGGAGCTGCAGCTGGGGCTGTAGGGGTAGCTTGGGGTGGTTTTAGAGGGGAAGCAGCTGGTGATAACTGGGCTAAAGCGGTGGTGAAAAACAAAATTGAAACTACCAGTGCTAGTGAGAAAGGCAAGACACAGTGCTTTTTCATCATTTTTGGCTTTGTGAAATGAAGGTTTATATGAAATTTGAAAGGATTACAAATGATAGGAATCGTAATTACAAAGAGCAGTTGATGCATTGATGACATGCTGGATGTGGGCTTTTATAGAGAAGGTTTGGGCGTGGGAGACAATGATAGGTTGGTGAAACTGAAAGGCTTAGTTGCTAGCTGGCAAAGATATTGTGATGTTGTATCAACAATAGCATATGGATGGAACATTGTGTCTTTATGATTGAAGGCCACACCAATTTCCCATCACAATCAGTTGTATATATGAATTGTTGTGTTCTTTTTTGTGTGTTGAGAGTCGGGTGAAAGAAATAGCTATTGAGATGCATAAGGTATCGCATCTTTTGTAGAAACAATGTAGTTGGAGAAAGGGAACGGAGTTGTGAAAAAAGTACGCAGGAGCTATTGCAATTGTTTTGCATATTTGTAAGATGTAGTGTCGTAACATGGATGAGAAACAGGGAAGTAGACATGGATGCAATGCAGAGTACAATTGTAAAACTAAGTTCACGCATCTCCTTTGGGAGGTTGAACTTTTATAATGGGTTTGGAACTCCAGTTATTGCCATTCTTTTCATTCTATTAAACTCATCAGCTGGGAACAAATTATATGAATAACCCTTTAGAGGTGTGGAACACAAAAAATTGTTTCTGATGCATGTTAATGAAAATACTTGAGGAAGACTTTGAAGTTTTAATTTTTGTTTCTGTGTTGAACCTTTTCAAGATTCAGTTCGCACCTCTTAGATAGAATCAAGCATGGATTTCTTTTTTCAATTATGATACAAAATTACCCTTTTCAGTGGTGATCTTAGGCACAAGACTCAGTAAAAGAATTTAATTTGAGGGAAACTAATCCTTTTTCTTTTCAAAGGCCAAACCAAAAACTACAAACATCAACTAACGAAGGAATAGAAAGAAGTAAATTAGAAATAAACTCAAAAATCCAAAGAGGCTCCATAACCAAATTCCCAACCTTGGCAAGGGTGTTGGCTATTAGACTCTCTAAAAGTATGATTCCAAGAGATTAAAGATTCCGCATGTTAGGATGCACAATGGCAGAAAAGGTGACAACGAACTCACCATTCTGATGCCTCATAATCCCTCCACAAGAAACTAAACCTGTGTTACATGAATAACCACATTTTAGGTTCTCCTGTGACTTTGTAATACGAAAAGTTTGCGAATTTTCCGTTTAAAACAATAAATTAGTTAATTAAAGTAAGAATGATTATTTTCCATTAATTTTTTTATACGCCTCCACATTTGCACCAGGAGATAAAAAGTAGTCCTTTTTCTCTTCGGTCTTTTCTTAATGTTACAAGCTAAAAGTGTAGTAAATTGATGCATGACAAAAACTTTAGGAACAATTATGGTTTAGCAGAAGCAGCTGAATTGTGAATAATTGAAGGATTGTGGCCCTTTCCATTACACCAATGCACGAGATATCAGAAACAGACACCAAATTTTAAACAAAAAAGTAAAGAGAAAGAAATTAACAATGTGTTTGACATATAAAATTGGAAGTGCAACTGCCACCATATGGATCAACTCCACATGGTTGCCACTGCGATCAAAGCTACCCCCATTAACATTGATTTTGTTCCACCAATGCGAACCAAATTCACTGCCCCTGATTTATTCTGAGCCTGATTTGTTTCGTCTTGATCGTCCTCAGAAGAGTTGTCCTTAGCAGCTTTGGGAGCCTTTGCAAGAGATGAAGGAGCCAAAGCTGGAGCCTTATTGGTTACAAAGAAATCTAGAGGAAGAAGCACCTTGTCCACGTGATAAATCCCAAGTTTGTTATCCGAGTATACTACCCCAAGAATGGTGGCATTGACCACCCCAGTTGAAATGTTGACTGTGTTACCTAATGCATTCACATTCAGTGGAAGCCTTGCAGGGTCTTTACCAGCCACTGTCTGCACAGGGTTGCTTAGAGAGTCAAAGTTTGAGCTGGACACAAACTCTGGCAATATGTGAAACTGCACAAGTTCTATTTTCTGGCCTTCGTTTAGGGAGTTCAGGAAGCCTGCTTTGAGGTTGGAAAAAGCAGAATCATCTGGTGCAAGAATGGTTATGCCTCCACTCTTTGCTGTTATGAGCTGTGAGTTGATGTTGTTCATGATTTCAGTAGTTTTGAGGAGGCGGATTATGGTTGAGAACGTTTTGGCCTTTTTGAGGATTCTGGTGATGTCATCTGGGACAGAGTCAGGGGAGTCCGGAGATTGAGGTAATGTGGGGACTAATGGTTTTGGTGATGGTGCTGTGGCCTTTGGGGTGGGGGGAAGTTTTGCTGGGGCTTTTGGGGCTGCTGCAGGGGCAGGAGAAATTGCCAAGGTGGTGGAGGAAAGAAGTAGGAAGAGTGACAAAAGGAAAAATGTTGCTTGCTTCATCTTCCAGCTGCTTAAGTCAAGCCTGGAGATATGATGACTTTGATGGCTCTTGCAATTTGTGTTTGATGAGTGAAGGAAGGGGTTATATAGAAGCCAAAGAAACAATAGGTTGCTGAAATGTTAAGATTGTGAAATTTATTAGCTGTGAAATGTGAGAGTGTATCCAATTTGTCATGGAGAACATGGACATTGTATCTGATTATTGTTGGCATCTTTGCGAAACTGATGCCTTTGGTGACATAAACTGATGTAATATTAATTCGGATAAGGTGAGATCTCTGGTTTCTTTTTGGTGACTGAGATGAGTGAGAATTATTACATATGAAATACCTGCTTTAACACTGCCACACTGGTTTGTTCTGTGCATGGACGCACATTAAATACATCACAATTTACAACAACTGTTCTCTGCATATGCAGACACACAATATACAGGATAAAGGTTTATGAAGAATTGAGTTTGGGAGAATGAAAATAAAGTAATTTAGGTAAGCATGTAACAATTTAATTCGATCCAGGGAGAATGCTACACCATGGGACAATTCAATACTCATGTCAACTCCATATGAGAGGTCAATTTTAAAGTAAGCATGATTGATTTATATGCATTGACCATTAGACCATCCTACTGAAATTTCCGTGTGACATTAATTATAAATTTAAATGTATGTAACCACACAGAGTCCTTAACTGTTTCATTTATTGGCAAATAGTCTAGTATCTCTAGAAGTTCATAACCTCTGTCGCCAAGTTTGAGTTTGATCTTCTACAATTAGCACGTTAGAACAGTGAGCTAGAGGAGTTTTGTTTAGCTTGCAAAAGTATGCTCTAGAAAATATGTTTGAACGTCCTAAGGATTCACCTTCTTCAAAGAATTCTTAACCTTTGGGATTCTGTGTATTGTCACAAGTTACCACCAAAAGATTATAAATGAACGAATACAAGTTGGGTTTTTCTGATTAAGTGTTCAAGATAACAAATGGTATCTCCACAGCAAAACCATAAGGCAAAACCATGAGTTGTTGGCTTAATGTTCTCACTATAAAATAAATCACACACTCCTGAAGTCTTATATATTTTAACTACTACCAAATTTACAATTTGGATCACGATTGCAAGTGAGGCACAAAAGAAGAGAGAATGTTGCATTATCATCTTTGTGTTATACAAATTGAATGCTATCATAATGATTGCTTTGCACACATGAAGATGTGAACATTTGCAACTATTTTGCTTTCAGGTCACAATTCATAGTCACTGGTTGGATGCAAGGATGGATCTATGGAAATCTAACTTGAAAGGCGTATGGCATCTCTGTATACTGGTTGTGTATTCACATCAAGAAAAATGATAGTGACTGTCTCGATCACAGACAGGTGTTTGATTGTGCAGTGAACTTGTATTAGGTGAGGCAGCGAGATCTGCCATACTCTCTTTCACTTTTATCATATTCAAAACTAAGAGTGAAGCAAATCCACTACAACCTCATCAAGATCGAAACAATGTGGCAAAAATTCTCATCTTTTAGTTTAATGTTTTATTTTCCTTCTTGTCTCATAGGTTATGATTGAAGCATTTGTTGATTTAATATGTTGGGATTGCAAATTCAGTTCTCATATTTAAGGTTAAATATACGAGAAATTCATACATGTAATTAACAAAATATCATATATCCTCTATATATTTAGAGCATAAATTTATCTTAAATCTATGATATGGATATATATTTTTGACACAAATAAATTATCTCAAATGAGTAAACATAAAAAAAAATTACATACTAACAATGTATTTACTTTCTAAACAACAATTCTTCTTTTTTACATGTTGGAAGTCAGAGATGTGAATTGGAATTTCCAAAATCAAGTTCTCAACGTTTTTCCTTCTAGCTTGCGTTGCTAAACGTTGTTCTTCTCGTAGCAACACACCAACACAAATATCCAGAGAGAAGTGACTGAATTTTAGGAGAATTTTTTTTTGTTATTTTTAATTTTTAAAATATTATTCAAATAATGGATATTCTGTTCCACATGACTACATAATACGAAATTGGAGGCTTAAATTCGTAAAAGGATAAAGTTTGTATTAATTACTCTTGAGAAGATGTAATAAAGCTTGTAAAAAAATGTTGAGGAAACCAAAAGCGGAACACTTAAATTATAGAGAAAACAACAATCACTATGATAAATTCACCGCTGCAATATTCACTCCTTTCTCACAATCACGTAACTGTTGGAAATATTACTTTATTTAAATTAGGTATTAAGAGATTTTATTATCTTTTAAGAGAGAAGGTAAAAAGACATTAGGTTATTATTCGATTTAAGCTAGTTATGATTGAGATATTATGAATATTTAATATTTTGTAATATTTTTACTCTATATATACATAGAGTACATGAATAGAAATACACACATGATATATCAGAAATACATATACACATAACCCTTCAAAAAAACCCAACAATAACACATTTCATTCATGAAGATGAAAAATACGTTGAACGTTCGTATGTTCGGAAAAGTATATTTTGGTTTATGATGACAATGCAACTAGGAGAACTAGTCCAAGGACCAGTGACAACCACTTTCCATTATTGATTTTCACAATGCCAGAGGTATCGTTTCTGGTATTAATCTCAGATGATTCCGAGGAATCTGGGGACAGTGACTTCTCCTTATCAGCTTTAGGCGTCTCTGCCGAAGATTCTGGTGCCAAAGAAGGTGCCTTTGCAGGTGTTTTAGCAACAACAAAAAAGTCCATAGGAAGAAGCACCTTCCCCACCTTGTAAATAGCAAGATGCTTATCTGTATATACAATGCCAGTGATGGTGGTGTTAACCTCACCTGTTGAGATGTTCACACTCCCTCCGTAACTTATCACATTCAGTTCCACCTTTCCAGGTTTAGCCCCTGCAAGGGTTCTCACTGGATTGGTTAGAGTATCAAAGTTGGAGCTAGACACATAGTCTGAAAGAACGTGGAACTGTAAGAGCTCAAGCTTTTCGCCATCAGAAAGAGAATTGAGGAAGCCTGCTTTGAGTTCAGAGAAGGCACTGTCATCAGGTGCAAGAATGGTGATGCCACCTGATTTAGTAGTGAGGAGTTGTGCATTGAGTTGGTTGATCAATTGGGTGGTTTTCATGAGGCGGATTAAGATGTTGAATGACTTGGCCTGCCTCAGGATTCCAACAATGTCAACAGCTGCAGTGTCAGGGGTGGAATCACTTGGTGACTGTGGCAATGAGGGAACCAAAGGTTTAGGAGCTGCAGCTGGTGTTGTAAGGGTAGGTTGGGGTGGTTTTGGAGGGGCAGCAGCTGGTGATAATTGGGCTAAAGTGGTGGTGGAATACAAGAATGGAAGTAGCAGTGCTAGTGAGAAGAACAAGACACATTTCTGTTTCATCCTTTTGGCTTTATTCAATGAAGGTTTAGATGAAGTTGGAAAGGAGTGCAAATGATAAGAATTGTAATTGCAATGAGCAGTTCAATTGTTTATATGTTGGAGATGGGTTTTATAGAGAAAGTTTGTGAGTGGGAGACAATGATAGGTAGGTGAAAGGCTTTGTTTTAAAACCTTAAATTGTGATTTGTGAGCATACACACTCACTTGCTAGCTGGCAAGGGTATTGAGGTGTTGCATCAACGATGATATACCGATATATTAAGCATGGAGCAATGCATTTTAATGATCGATGGCCATACCAATCTCCCATTGTAATCAATTGATTTTGTGAATATATTTTTTTTTTGCTGAGACCATTGTACTCAAACAGTACGTGTTTTTTTTTGGAGTAAAGATAGGGCCAAAGAAAGAGTGCTTGATCAAACAGTAAAACCAATGATATAGTTAGTATCCATAAAATCAATAATTATGATAAAAGTTCCCAAAACGAATTATTGACATTCCAGTACTTTGGTTTATTGCTTGGTGATGTATCGAGACAAACAATGGCCTAATATGTTGCCCCATGATTTCATAAATGAAAAATAGTGATTACATAACACATTGTTTGTCTTTTTCACACTTACGTATGAATAACATTTCTTGTCTAGTGACTAAGAAACCTTCCTTTTCAAAAAAGACGAATACCACACATCATACATAAGTGAAGACTTTCCTCTTTCATAAAATATAAATTCACTGTTTTGTTTGACATTGTTTTCATAGTTTCCACCAGAATGCCATTTAGCATTGGATTATGAGGAATAATTTTCAACAATGAGTCTAAGAGACTTGGGAGAGTACAGAGTGTTATTCAGCCAAGTACAAAGCTATAAGTGGGCTTGAATTGACATGTCTATGCACAAGAAGCTTCAACAGCTAAACTCTTTGTTACTCCTTTACATGGATCTCCGAATGTATTAATTGATACTCCAATTCTACAACTGCTTGATCCAATGCAGGCCTGTTAACAGATGCTCCATAGAGTAAGTATAATCCAAATGAAAAAATAAAATAAAATAAAATAAGCTACAAAAAAACATATATGAACTTCTTATTTAAAGAAGATGAAGGATAACACCTTCTGCACAATGGATAGAGCGTTCTTGCTGCTGCAGCCTCCTTGTTTGAAGTTCCCACAAGTCCCAAGTGGTGTTCCAAAACTTGCAAATTTAATGGAAGAGATCACCTGATTAGGATAAGGGCACTCCAGTAACAGTACAGGTCCTACTCCTCTTCCTGATTCCGCATTTGAATTCCACAAGTCTACAGGTAGAGGGTGAGATTCAGATACGCGTGAACACACGCTTCCTATCTGTTTTGTAGTAAAAGTGATATGTTTAGGATTGCCTCCAGTTTCCTCAAACAATACAAGTGTGTTGTTTTCAGGTCGTAACCATGATCGTGGTACATGGTATCTGCAGGATTAGTTACTCAAATAAGTATCTAGCAGGATTTCCTTTACTTTCTTTAAATAATTCAGATTTACTTTCAAGTTTCAACATCTCTAATGCAGAATATGTGGCACTTACAATGACTGTGATGGTTTTCCACAGTTCTGGAGACATTTGGATGCATTATAAGCCCCTATATAATTGCACGAATCAGTACAACCATCACTTGGAGCAGCATACGTAGGCCAGTATCGCCCAATGCTCTGTCCATTGACCCAAGCCTCACCTTTACCCATCCCCGTGAAGTTAATTGCAACCGGATCACTACCTGAGGGGGCAACGAAGTTTGTCTAGTACGACATATATTACCATTTGTTAGCCGCAAAAACCATTTGAGTAAACATGATTTTGCTTATGCAGATAAAACAACAAGACGATAATTAATTTCAATGGATTCTATATTCTGTTCAAGATTACCTTGTACCAAATCAACGGTTGATTTGTAGGTAAGGTAGATTGATTCCACTGTCTAGAACTGCCACTAGATGGACCTAAATCTTCATCTTTAAGGCCTATCTGCATTCATAAAATTATAAACAGTGTATTCTATATATGGCGTCAATCAAAACCTCAAAATGAGTAAAAAAAGTGGCTTTAGTTAGTTAGGCTTAGAAGCCTGAGACTAACCTGATATGTCCAATTCTGGGAGGACAGATTAAGAGAGCTACCATTTTTTAAACCATTCAATATCACAGGGCCAGTGATCCCTGCACCCTTCTTGTCAAAAAAGGCTCCATAGTTCTGATGAGCATAAGGATTGCATTAGTTGATGTGGTGATGAGAACTGGTTTGGTTATAAAGTGAAACGGTATGTGGATAGATTGAGAGCCCAATGGATATTACAAGAAGAGAAGACAAACCTGAACCCCCACAGTTAAACTCAGGAGATCAATTGTGTTCTTCCCGGCGACTAGTGTGATGGGGATGTCTACTTTGACCTGAGCGTTGTCACGGTTGCCTGTTCCACTCCCTGAAAAGGTTCTCGATAATGTCACAGATAAGTATGTTGTTGATAAAAATGAATTATTCCATTTAAAACGTGAGCAGTTTAGGAAGGAACCGTCATGAACATCTGATCTTAATCTAAGTAGAATTTATTTTGCTACGTCCTAAAGGGATAAATTTTGGGGACAATTTGTCTCATATATCAATTTTATATAAAAAAATTTACAATTAAAGAAAAAGAAGCGAATTAAATGTTGGATGACATGGGTGTTAAGATGAAGAAACATATAAACAAAACCTGAAATCGTAAAGTCTGTTGTAAAAATTGGCTGTGCATCTTTAGCTAAATTTTGCTTGCCAAGGGATGCAAAAAATCAACAGTATGGTAATACTTTCTTTTCTTTACAATTAAGGAGTTGGTAGCGTAAAATTTTTTTAAAGTGCTCCTGGTAAAACTGCTGAGTACTAAGTTTTATGCTTACTTTGGGTGATTTCATCTTAGAAAGTTTATGTTTAAACGTTTAACAATGCAAACTTGGGCGGAAGTTTTTGGATCTGTAGGTGAGAATATTATGTTCTAAGGTTACTGATCTATCATCATGTCATTGCTTTAATACCTGCAAACTTCCCATTTATGAAAGCATGAAGAGCATGACCAAGGGATTCAATGTGAAGGACAGCTTGAGTACCAGCATCAAGATTAATGCTGCAGAAAAAAAAAAAAAAAAAACCATGGAAAATGTTACTATGGGGCAGAGAATTGCAAGTCAGAAGAAAGAATTCTCAACCTAGAAGCTATACTATCTACCTTAATGAGTACCACAAGTAATCACTTCTATCAGAAGTTGTATTTATTTGGTCCAGTAACCCAAATTTTGAGAATGAATCAGCCTTTGAAATACCAATAGGTTCACTAATCCAACTCCATCCTGAGCTACAATCATCCGAAGAACCAACCTTTTCTTTCAGAGTCTCGGTTGTGAAGCTTGAAATCATAGATACAGAATTAATCTGTGATAAATAACTATAGGTTACAACACTTCATGTAATAGGAAACGAAAGAAAAGATCGAAACTATAGATAGATTAATCACATGCATTCTGGAAGTAACTTCATTCAATTGAACTATATCTATTTTGATCTCAAAGCTGATGAGGCAAACCTTTGCAGTATTAAACACTACATTTTTGCAATCTGGTAAGATGCTGATTGACCATGCGGGCAGCTGATATGAATTTCCATTGAAGGTCACGTTTGCATCAGATGTGCCATTGTTGGCAAGGAAGGCAGCACATACAGCTCCTTTCTTGTAAACTGCAGCCTGCGTTTGAATAGTAAATGTTAAGAGATGTAGTTACACAATTCATGTCATGGAAATATCTAAGCCTTTGGGATAATTGCTTCTAAATCTTAAAGAGTTTAACATTCACGATCTTTTACCCAATGTTATGCTTACGGAGGTTCATTATATGGTAATGGTATACATAATTTCTAGAAAAGAGACTAAATCTTGATAAAGCTAGTAAAACAAGTATTAACCCAGAAAAGAAAGACTAAAAGTTTGTCATCAGTGATCAGACTGCAGTATTTTTCCACAATCAATAAAAAGCAACGCAAAATTGGGAAGAAGGCAACAACTAGAAAACTATGACAAAGAGGCAAAATCTGGTCTAACTTCAAACTTTTATGGCATTTTTGGGGACAGAAACTTAATGTTTTGGTAAAAAACGAGACATTTAGATCTCTAGAATAATCCAGAAAATCTAGCCTAAATTTAAGAGGACCACTTTTTACCTCTATATTTGGGCCTGGAGATGTAACTGTTGGATCAGTGGCTATCAGTGCTTCTTCGCAAAGTTTTATGGCCTTATGCAAGTCTTTAAGGTGGCCCCACTTAGGCTGTCTAATAATTCCTGCATCATGCAGTTCAGATTTTTTTGAAATAATATACATAAATTTTCACTTCTGTCATCTACATATAAATTGAGATTGCGATGTCAAGTTGCACAATATTGTTTATTTTTCTTGTTGACTGTTGTCTAGTTTATATAATTCTACGTAGTCTACAATAAATATGAAAGATGAAGGTTAAAAAACTCCTTACCATACTCATCAATTGGTGCATCATAATCATAACTAGTAGCAATAAAAGGCCCACCAGAAACCCGACCAAAATTAGTCCCTCCATGGTACTGTTTTGGAGCAAGCAAATAAAAATGTTATGACATCAGCTGATTTTCTATCTGGAATAGCTGAAGTTAAGTCTTAAACATCATTTCAGGTTGCATTACCATATAGTAACTCTGAAAAGTTCCACCTCTCTGGTAAAAATATGCCACAGCAAAAGCAAGATCTTCCACTGGTCTGTAGGGCACAGCACCACCATATGAAAAATACCTACGGTTTCAAAGAATTATAAAGGTTACAACAAAAAGAAAAATAGAGTTGAATGAGAAAAGATATACACAATCAATCAGATCATATTTTGAGCTTGACATACATTCAAATATAACTAAGTAATTTATATAGAAAAGAACACTAACCATCCACTCCAGTTCTCAGTCCACATTTTCGGTTTTGAGTTAGAGTTTGGATAGAAATTGTGGCAGTAGAATCCATTGCATGTGTTAATCTGATAGCAGTTAAGATTACAAATTACGGAATAAGTGTAGACATAAACATAGTAAGAGCGCTCTATTCAGGAATGAGGAAAATAGACAATTCAGTAAAAGATGAACTAAAAAACAGTTTATGTACATGACTAAAAGGAGAAAACTTACAATTGGGTCAGGAGCATCTGCCTGTTGGCACATTACCCAAGGAACCCCTGTATCAAGAGATGTTGCCATTGATGCTGCCCATTTGATGTAGGATTCAGCAGCTGGACCATAGGCTGCATCAATGTCCCCATACTCATTTTCAATCTGTTCATAGTATTTTCACATTTAAAATGCTGCATCAGGACTATCTGTATTGATGTAATATAAAGAAAAATTGAAATGTATTTAGAAACCTGAGACAAAATAATCGGTCCTCCCTGTGACGTATAGAGCTTCTCTTGCTTCATCATATCCACAATCTTAGCGGTGAACCGCTTCATTTCTTCCTGAAGACAATTCAATTTCACATGATAGCAGGAAGTAGATTTAGCAAGATGAGACAAGGAGAAAGCAGTGGAATAATTACCTCAAATGGTTTGTTATCAGTTCGGAACTCAATTCCCGGAATAAAATGTAGCCAAAGAGGGAAACCACTGTTCAGAAAATTTAAAGGGCATGATCAGATGTGAACTTCCTTGTAGAAAAAATACACAAAAAGATCAAACTTACCCGTAGTTCCATTCAGCACATGCGTATGGACCAATCCGGAGATGCACATATAGACCTGCTGCTGCTACTGCCTTCACAAATTTAACTAAATCTGCCCTACCTTCAAAATTATACTGCCAAACCCAAGCACAAGCTCAATCATAGATTCAACCATAAATTTAAGCTTCTGGTTGACATTAAAAAATTCTGATCTCTATTTCATGCTTTCATGATCTATCTACATTGTTTGTATTGACTCAGAAAAACATGTGAAGTAATGACTATTTACTTTTTTAAGCTGCATACACTTATTTTTGGTTTTGACTTTAGACCCCCTGAAATTTTTTTACTTCCATGGTTAGTGAGCAAGTTTGAAAAATTAACACACACACACACACACAATGGAATGCAAGTAAGAGTGAACAACACAAACAATAAAAAAGTGGTAATAGTAATAGTATCAATAACAGTACTAAAAAGAAGAGAACCTGGCCTCGAACTGGTTCATGTAAGTTCCAGAAAACATAAGTGTCAATCACATCAATTCCTCCATCTTTTGATTTTTTAATGATGTCTGGCCACATCTGCAACAAAAACCACCACCCCTTTTAACTCCAAACTTAAAAAAAAAAAAAAGAAGCTAAAACAGGTGTACATGCAACATTACACAGAATAGAAAGAGGGTATAATGAAGAGAACCTCCGGAGTGCTACGAGGGTAATGAATAGAACCAGAGACCAAGACTCTGCGCTTGCCATCAATGACCAATGCTCTCTGGTCATAAGTGACATTTGCGCAAAACGAAGTAGGGACATAAACACAGAAAAACCAAACAAGAACCGACAGAATATGTGTCACTTTCATTGCCTTTCTGAGATTGTCAGTACAAAAAGAAGGAACACAAGCAACAGGGTAATGAGTCCCTCTTCATTTTTGTCACTAGTATTTAAGGACACCAACGAGGTTTCTTAAGACAAGCATAGAACTTGACAGTTACTACACTTTCCATTCTTGTTCATTACACTTCTTATAGAAATCTTATAGAGAGAGTGTAATACATAATAATCCTTTTATTTAATATTAGAGATTTTTTTCTATTTATGTATTTATATATAAACTTAACATTTTTTTCTTCTTCTTTTTTCATTAAATGGATATTTTGAGTATTCATCAAATATTATCCTTTCCAAAAACTTCTATCTTTTACGAAATCTTTTTCTGATTGTCTGATACTTTGTCACATTAATTATTATTTAAATACTCTTAATTAATTAATTACTTTTTTTATAATGTGTAAACATGTAAAACTGTGTTAATTATTCATCTTTAACTTATTTTGGTCATCTAGTTATTTATGATTCTTTAGTAAAACAAGTTTCGTTCATTTATTTTATGAACTCACTTCCACAAAAGCAAAATATGTAATTAATTTTTTCATGGAATTTTATCCTGTGCAAGATTGCAAATAGTAAATTTCACTAATATATATATATATATATATATATATATATATATATATATATATATATATATCCACTTTTAACTATTGATTATCTAATTATTTGTGATTTTTTTTAATAATGTAACTTTTACTCTCTTGTTTATTTTCTGAACTTATCTGAATGTAATTTTTTATTCCCAAAAAAATATATAATTAATATTGTTATCGATTTGTTCTAAAAGTTTGTCTATATTAAACTTCATTAACTTTCCACTCCTATCTCATTTTGATTATCTAATTATTGATATTTATATAATAAAACAACTTTCTCTCTTTTTTATTTTCTAAACTAATCTTTTTCTTCCTAAAAAAATAAACTACTTTCAAAATTTCAAAGAATGAATTCATAAATAATTAAGATAGCAATAATAATATTTAAGAAATATAATTAATATTCATATATGAAATTGCAGGCAGAAAATCTTGGATGAATTTTTTCTTTGAATCATGATTTAAGATTAAATATTCTTTGGCGCTTATATAATAATTGTTTTTTAGTGTTTTTTTTTTTTTAGTTTCCAAATATATCAAATGATAAATTTAATATTCTAATTTAAGAATCGTAATTCTTGAGATAATTAATTTTATTTAACTGGGAATAGAAAAAAATATTATCATAAAATTTTGTATAATGTTACTGTAAAAAAATATAATGTTACTATAAATATATTTTTTTCTCTATTTCTTTAACCAAATAACTTTTATTCTCCTGATTTCTTTCTATACTACCATATTGTATAATATTTCCATACAAAAAGTTCGAACATTTGTTATCCCTTCAATTTGTGTGAAACGTTTTTAAAATGTATGTGTAAAATTATACATAAAAACAAAATTAGAACGAATTTGTTGTGTCTTTTAGGAGATTGAAAAAAAAAATATATATATATATATATATATATATATATATATATATATATATATATATATATATATAACATGAGACATGAATTTAACTTATATAAGAATTTACATTATTTTTAACAAAAAAAATTTTAATATTTTGAATTATGAGTTTTTTTTTAATACATTGTTCAACTTTGTCATGTAAAACTTAAAATCACGCTTGATTCTTTAACAAATTAACACTGTTAAGTTCCTATATAATTATTATTATTACTTTTTATACTCAAGTGTGAGATGAAACTTGGATATATTGATTTTAAATAAAGTTAGAGATAAGATTTTAGAGAAGATGGAAACTAATTTATTAAAGGAAGGTACATAAAAAATATGCAGTAAAACACATTGAAATTTCTCTTTAACTATATGACTATATAATATAAAAATATTTAAATCCCTTGTGAAAAACAATCACTACAAGAAAAATCACATTTAGCCACCGAAATTAGCGACCGAATTTTTTCTGTTGCAATTAACGATCGATTTAGCGATCGATTTAATTTTGGTCGCAAATAGCAACCGATTTAGTGACCACTTTAATTCGGTCGCAATTAGCGACCGATTCAACTGACCACTTTAATTCGGTCGCAATTAGCGACCGATTTAGCGACCAAAATATGAATTGGTTTTCATTTTGTTATTTAGCGACCGAAATAGCGACCAATAGTTTGCGTCGCAAAATTTCGATCGCTAAATCATGGCTATTCCACACTAAAATAAAAAAATCATTTAGCGACTGATTTAGCGACCGAATTACAAATTAAAATTGTGACTGAATATAATAGCGATCGAATTTAAATCGATTCAGCTAACTAACATTATTTTTTTATGATATTTAAATTTTTTTTTATAAATATACTTTAATTGTTTTAGTATATTTTTGACAATTTATTTTTTAAAGGTAATTTATTTTCTAAAAATAATTTAATTTTTAAAAGATACTTTAAAAATAAACTTTGGTCTCAATATTAACAAAATGAAGATTAACTTTAATTTTAAATTACTAAAATAAAAATATTATTAAAAATAAATCAAATTTATTAAAAATTTAAATTATAATAAATTAAGACTAGAGTAATATTAACTATTTAATACATTGTTTAAGAAAATTTTAATAATAAATATTCTTTAATTTATTTTTCAATTAAAAATTTCAATTGAAATTAAATTATATTTTAAAAATTTATATTAAAAAAATTAAACACATCAAATGATCACATTTTAATTCCTCATTAACTTAATTAAATAAGAAAATAAAATTTTAATCAAATTATTACAATTTTATTTTATAAAACTTTATTTTTAATCTAATCTTTAAATTTATTGCTTTATTATTATTAATTACTTAACCATGGTTATTTTCATATAATTGATATACAAAAAAATTATATCAATATACATTAGATAATCAATATACATTAGTTTAAATATACTAATTAATATTTTTTCATTTTTAACATAATTAATAACAAATATTAAAAATAGATCGCTAGAAAAGTTAAAAATTTAAAACTAATCTATTTTATAAATACTAAAAATAAAGCATATTTAAATAAATTAAAAATATATTTAAATTTATATTTGAAACTATATAATAGCGGTTCCACGTTAACCGCTATCTAAACTATATTTTAGATAGTGGTTAAGGTTTAACCGCTATTAGATGTTCTGTTTTAAGAGCGGTTCCAGTGGAACCGCTATCATATACAACCATTATGATCGATTAAATTTTCAAATAACCGATCATATTGGATAATTTTTTCAAATAATTAATTATAATCGATTAGTTTTCTAAATAATTGATTAGAATTGATTAGTTTTTCAAATAATAGATTATAATTGATTAATTTCTCAAATATATATTAAAAAATTATAAATAAAAATATAAATTACTTAAGAATATTAATTATTGTATGAAAGTGATGAAGATCTTATTGAAACACTCGACAAAGATCTTATTGATTTGATGAAGTCAAAAATAAAGTCAAAGTTAACTTTGTAGCGGTCAACAGTCACTTTGATAAAAGAGTAGAGGAATTAGTGTGTCTTCAGCTATGCTTAGGTATAATCATTTTTATCTTTTCTGCTGCATGAGGTTTCTTCACTTAAAAGATTTTGCAAAATGCCTCTAAATACGTTTAAGCAGTTAAAAACAAAGTATTTTAACAAAAGCTTTCTTAAACAAGTTTTTAATCGATACAACTTGGTTAAGAGAAGTGTTTTTGCAGTATTTTAATCGATACAACTTGGTTTTAATCGATTAAAACCACTTAGAGTTCAGGATGATCGATCAGAATGCAATTATGACCGATCAGAATCAGATATGATCGATCAGAATTGAGTTATGACCGATCAGATATTTTTCAATCGATTAAAACACGTTTCAATCGATTAAAACAACTTAGAAAATTTCTACACAGCGTTTTAATCGATTAAAACTTATTTTTATCAGTTAAAATCACTTGGAAAAACTCACAATAAAGTTTTTTAGTATTTCAATCGATTGAATCACGAAACAATCGATTAAAACAAATTAGAAGATTTTTTGTAAAGAGTTTTAATTGATATAAACGTTGTCGTATCAGTTAAAACAAATCTGTTAAAGAATCAAGAACGTTTTAATGGATTAAAAGAAGTTTTAACAGATTAAAACTGCACTTTTAACATATTAAAAGATTATTTTAACAGATTGATTAAACCAGCAATTTTGAAAATCTTCTATAAAAACAGTTTGGCTTGAACTTTTTAAACACACATTGAACATCAGTTTTTACACATCCTTGAACAATCAAGCAAGCAAACTTTAGCACTCTTTTAAAAACATAATATTAAAAAAATAGTCAATATTTGAAACTATATAATAGCGGTTCCACCTTAACCGCTATCTAAACTATATTTTAGATAGCGGTTAAGGGTTAACCGCTATTAGAAGTGCCTTCTAATAGCGGTTCCAGTGGAACCGCTATCATATACAACCAGATTTCTTTATTCTGATCGATTAGATTTTCAAAATGATCGATCATATTTGATAATTTTATCAAATAATTAATTATAATCGATTAGTTTTCTAAATTATTGATTAGAATTGATTAGTTTTTCAAATAATAGATTAGAATTGATTAATTCTGAAATATATACTAAAAAATTATAATTAAAAATATAAATTATTTAAGAATATTGACTATTGTAAAGATAAAGTAGAACATGGGAGGAGATGAGGATGATAATATAATGATAGAACTTACAAAAATGTAGAATTGAGAAGTTTGAAACAAATAAAATTAAGAAAATGAGATTTAATTACACTTTTAATAATTTTAAGATAATACTAGTTTTGATTTTTATTTTTAAATATTTATTTTAATTATTTAAAACAGAGAAACTATAATTTTAGTTTCTAACTACTGAATTTAAAGAATTAAATTTATTATTATTTAATCTTTTAATTTTAGTATTAAAA